CCGAGTCTCTCTCTCTCTCTCTCCCTCTTTCTCGGTCTGCCTTGCACGAAGGTCACGCGCAGTGTTGTTTCAGCTTGAGGCTCGGACAGCGAGGGTCGCGTTTAGCGTTAAACACGTTATTCGTGTACACAGAGCTCGGTTCGCACTCCCGCGAATCGCCCGGCTTTCGTGCCGCGGAACAAAGTGGACGTCGGCCCCGAAGTGGCCGCAGAGTAGCCGGATCTCGTCCTTCGTGACAAAAGAAAGACAAGGATGACGACGTCGTCGCGCTGCGGTCCGGCATATTCAGCGGACGGATATTTGCCGAACGTGCGTCCGCACGTGCATGCAATACTGTCGCTGTTCGATCAGCCTCTCTCTCTCTCTCTCTCTCTCTCTCTCTCTCTCTCTCTCTCTCTCTCTCTCTCTCTCTCTCTTCCTCTAGACGAATAGCGCGCTCCCACGTATTTGTACGCCGTCGTGGCCGCGGTGGCTCCCCCAGCCCCCTCCCCTCGGCCCCACGCAATATCGTTTATACGTTCGCTTTATTCGCGTCGATACGTCTGTTGATTTAAGCGCCGCCCGTCTCCCCCGTAGACGGATGATCCTGGAATTTGGCTCCGGGGGAAACGCGGACACGCCATTTGTCCCTTGGCTATTCGCGACCCCGGAGGAGATCGAGCGTGGTCGCTCGGCCGCGAAAACCGCGTACGCTCGTCCTGCGAAGTGAATCCTGCCCGATTATTGGCCCGGGTGACCTGATCGTGTGAAGAGGAATTAATAATATACGTCTCTCCAGCAAAAAGCAGACGAAGGCTGATCCCGTCGGGAGGGCTCGAACGTTCAATCGCATAGTACTTTTTGGAATTCTTTGGAGACTTTTATTTATCTTCTCGGAATATTCTCTCGGAAATGACTCAAGTGCACTATTTAGTGACGCGGCGAGTTACTTTGGTTTAATACGGCTTTTAATTTTGTTCGGAACTTGGTGATGTGCGAAGGGAAACGGGGCGGGGGCGGGGCATAATTGACAAATTGGGACACTGTTACTGATTGGGACATTCATCTTAAACAACGCGTAACAATTGATAATTCCTGCCGGCGATACACAGCGAGCCGCGCACCGTCCAATAATTGGCAATACTTGCGCGCAGCAAATTATTCGTTCCGAGCGGATTATCGCCGCACACGAGGGGGAGAGCGCGAGAGGGGAGTGAAGGGGAGGGGGGCCGCTCGTGTTCCTCGTGGGCTTTGCCCACGCGCGGTGTAATTATCGCGGGATTTTCGCGAGTGCCGTCGGTAAATGGAAAATTTTCGCAAATACGAAACAGCGCGCGATAGCGGCAGCGGCGGAGGAGCGTTTGAACTGGACGGTAAATCGCCGCGTATGTGCAATTTCCAAACGCGCGTTCACTTCGCAAACGATGCACCCTGGAAAAGGGCGCGCGCAATTTCGTGCCGCGCGATAATTAAAAAAGTCAATCCGCCGCCGAGACTCGCACTGTCGTCAAATTTCGCTTCGCGCGCTAAATGGACGAGTAGTCAGTCAGTCAGAGAGAGAGAGAGAGGGGGGGGAGGGGGGGAGAGAGAGAGAGAGAGGTCACGAGCGACGCCGCGAATTCGACAATACGAATTCGCGTATACGCGAGGCACCTGTCAGCGGATAGCGATGGATCGCGGCCCGCTTTTCGACGTTCCTCGTGTGATCCATGAGCCTCGCGCGGAACGAAATCCCCGATACCACGGTCGACGGTCGGATTGTCAACGACGCCGCGCCGTCGTCAAGGACGGCGTGAATGCAACATGGAAATGAGAACGAGGTGGCGACCGAGGCAGGAGTGGAGCAGACGGCAAAAAACAACGTCGACACCGACGAGGAGGTCGGCGGGGATTCGTATCGATCTACGGAGCAGCCGGGTATATTCCTCGCGGAGACACGCCGTCTGCGCGTCTCGCGCAGCCTCCTGTCGCGAGGAGACGCGACGAGAGACGAAAGGACGAGAGAGACGAAATGAAAGGAATCGCGCGCCGCGAGCTCGGGATTTTTTGCCGGGCGGCCCGAGCGGGCCGTAATTGCTGGGTCTCTTCCGGCCGGGAGGGATAACGATCTCGCTCCTTCAAAGTACAATGAAGATAAGTCGCGAGGCGAATTGAGCATCCGGGGGACGCGGCGCGCGCTCTGGAAAGCCCGGGAAAGCATCGTCGCGAGGTGTCTGTCGCGAGGTGCGCGCGCCAGAGACGTCAGCCCCGGCGTGATTGATCGCCACGTCAGCTGCGTTTTGACAAGCGGAGGAGCCCGCGTAATTTCAACGGGATAAATCTCCCGAGGATTTCTTCCTCCCCCGCGCTTGTTTTTGTTTCTCCTCACGAGAAGCCTCTCGCATTTCTGCGCTCGGTCCAACGGTTCGAACAATTTCGCCGACGTGCACCTGTCGATCGATCCGGCTCGAGTCAGATGAGCGACGGGCGGCCGACCTTCGGAAGATTTCTCGAGGCAATTTGCCGCCGCGGGCCCGCATGTGAGTGAACGCGGGACGCATTCCGCGAAAGAGCTCGGACGAGGTGAAGCGGATCCGACTCGCGCTCGCGCGGCGCGAATTCGATGGGATTTCGTGGCGCGTTTCTCACGGGCGACGGTTTCTGCCCGAGGGAGCACGAGCGACGACGATTGATTCATGGCGACGGCACGATGCAGATCGGACAAAACTCGCGTCGGCCCGCGTCGAGACGATTGAACGCATCCGCGGCAATTCCATCCCGAGGCTCGGGATAATTCCCACCCAACTGCGACGACGCCATCAACGGTCACTAAAAATTACCAGCGCGTTTCCTCCGGTAATCGACGTACACTTGACGGCGGCGGCGGCGGTAACGGGGGGTAATTGTCGCCTTTGTAAATTTCCGCAACCCACTTCGGCAACTCGGCGCGCGGCGGGCGGTATCGGACGACATCGGACATACCGCGCTCGGTCTCGTCCTTTCCGCTGTGCAGACAAGCGCGCAGGATTAATCTCGTCAGGTTAGCCCGGGCCTGCGAGTGGGCCACGCTCGACTGTGACTGATGAATGAAATCAGGGGTGGCCGACCTTATTTTGCGTCAGCCGCGTCCTCCATGCGGCATCCGCGAGACCCTCTTCGATCACCCTCGCGCGCACGTGTCTCCCCCGGCCCTTCCCGCGGACTCTCGACCGCGACCCATCGTCCTCCCGTCCTCCCGTGGACCCTCTTCCGCAGCGCAGCCATCTCGCACCATCGTCGACACGGACCCGCACACAGTCTGCCGCACCACTGACGTAATCCCTCTGACGTCACACATGGAGCTACCTCTGCAAACCCCCGCGACACGAGGACAACGTCCTTCGTCTCACTCCCCCCCCCTCTCTCTCTCTCTCTCTCTCTCTCTCTCTCTCTCTCTCTCTCTCTCTCTCTCTCTCTCTCTCTCTCTCTCGTGCCGTGTCGGGCTGGCCGGCTTCGATCGCGCGAGCACCGTGGACTTTTTATATGTTTATCAGCGATGTTCGTCAATGATGTTTGCGAGCCGACACGCGTTAGCAATTGCACCGCGATATTTACTCCGTGGCCTTGAGCGCTCGGCTCAGGGGCGCTGCGATAACAAGGGTGTTGAATTGAGGGTGTAACCGAGACCCGTGATCGACGCGCGCTCAATTGTATTCGGCCGGCTCGCGTCGTAGGAGTCTTTTCGTTTCCGTAAAGGGCAGCGAATTCCCCGTTCAATTTTACTTCCTCTCTCTCTCTCTCTCTCTCTCTCTCTCTCTCTCGCTCGCATACGCTCTCGACGGTAACGCGCGAACGCGGAGAAACGAGCCTCGTTCGAGACAAATCCGTTTAGGACAGCCGAGAGAGGCTGAGCCCCTCGGCCGTAATCGTCGCACAATGTCGTGCCCGGCGCTTTGAACGGCGAACGTTTACGCACGTGAACGAACTCGGGACGCGATTCGAGCGCGAGCAACGGCTAGCTAGAACGGCGCAAGCACGGCGGATTTTCGTCGCGTAAGATTACGCGGCGGTGTTAATCGAGTTAATCGCGCCGAGTGCAATTTTGCAGGCGTGCAATCACTGTTCCCTCTCTTTCTCTCTCTCTCTCTCTCTCTCTCTCTCTCTCTCTCTCTCTCTCTCTCTCTCTCTCTCTCTCTCTCTCTCTCTCTCTTTCTCCTTCCCAGCCTCTTTCTTTTTATCCTTCTCTCACTGAATTTCCGCCGGCGGCGCGGAAACGCTCACCGTAACGACAGGCAAGCGAACGACAACGCGAAAAGTTCGATCGTACGTCGCGCTTTCCTCCCCGCCTGCATTCTTTGTGTTTCTTTTACGGGCCGTAAATTCGCGGCGACCAAGATTGGTATCCACGTTTCCGGTTACGTATCGGCCGCGCCGCGACCCCGCGCGCTGCACGGAAAAGTAAGCGCCGCAGCGAACTGCCGCGACCCTTTCCCATCCTCCATCCGCTGCGAATCGCGCGCGCGAGTTAAACGGCGCAACTTTCTCGCAGAGAATTGACCGATCGACGTGAAACTACTCGTGACCGCAATCGCAAGGAGAATTCACAGTCCCGAGTCAGGTGCCGAGGGTCTGATCCGCGAGAGTTCAGAAATTGACCGGGGGATCAATTTGGCGCACCCCCGTATACACCCCCCCCCCCCGCTCCCGTGTTGTCGAATACGCGAATAATAACGCTTGACGTCCGAGCGACTCGTCCAAACGAGAAGCCGCTCGCGGCTTCAATTTGCCATCGCGGCGGTGTAACGCGTTTAACTTGATCGAGTTCCGCCCTCATCGCCCAGTTTATAATCCGTCCTCTTTATCCTCTTACGTTCCGCTCTCCTTCCCCCCTCTTGCCCTTTTCCATCGGTCGTTCTTAAGTATTCCGTCTTCCTCGGTAAGTCAACGCCGCCGACTCGGTAACATTCCACACGCGCTCGATTCGATTAATATCCTGTCGCCGTTTCCGTACGTTTCCGTGTGTGAAACTCCGTCGGATTGTCCTCTTTCTCTCGGTTTTTCAGGTGAGAAACTGTGGATTGCTGCAGCAGAACCTCGGCCCCAGGAGTGGCCCGGGGGTGGTTACCCTGGGGACCTCGGGCAGGTGATCGCGCGAGGACGAAGTGGCTGAGACCGACGAAGGACACGGGAGGCGGAGGAGGAGGCCGCTATGAACGCCAGCGTCAACATCGAAAGGAACTCCTGGCGGCTGCCTCCCGACGAGACCGTCCAGGTCGCCGATCCCCGTTCAAAATCAGCCCAGGTAAAAGAGGTAAATCGCTCGACCGGCTCTCTCTTTCTTTCTCTCTTCTTTCACCACAAACTCCCTCCCTTCCCATTATTCCCATCCGTCCCGACTTCTCGTTGATTTTCCATCAATCAGTACAATTTAGACGCATGTGCAAGTTGATACTGCAACACCGGTCATCGATTCGCGTGCATTTGGCTGCTCACGAGCAACGTGAGCAACGTGAGCTCGTCTTCCGCGACGTGCGAGTGAAATCGCCAGGCGGTGGTGATTCTAGCGGAATCGTCCGAAGAAGTTTCTCGGCTCGGAGTGAATTAGAAAATTTCAGGCGGTAGTCGCGAAAGAATCGCTAACGTCGTTTGTTTCAATCCGACGCCGAGAGCCGAATTTCAAGAGGGAGAGGGAGAGAGAGGGAGAGAGAGAGAGAGAGAGAGAGAAATTCGTAACAAAGCGCGGACAGACGCGCGGACGGGGAGGGGACGACGAAACGCGATCGGAAACTAGCTGGACGGAAACCGCACTTCCGGCCGCGATCAGAATCGCAAATGCTGCTCGCATAATAGTTGTCCCGTATCCGTGTGTAACAATATCCAGGGATGCGCCGGAGAAAACGTGGATACAGCGTCGATGTGCTGACGCAGTCGCTCGGTAGATGTTGAGTTGCTTAGCGGAGTCTTACGACGGATCTGCGTAGAGGAGAGTAGTAGTCTCGACTGAGTAGACTCGCACTCGGTAGTCGGATCATCCCATTCGTCGCGGATACTCTCGCTCGATGATCGATAACGCCATGTGGAGAGAAGAGCGGAAGGACGGAAGAGGATAACGCCCGAGTCGTAAAACTCGGGCTGGACATTGCGAATCGCGCGAGGAATGCGCGAGGGTGCGCGTCGCATTTCGATACCGGCCGGACGATATCGGCGGGTCCGAGTGGATCGCGCTCGAGCCGCACGAGTTCATGCACACGCTGATACACTTGCGCAGGTGTTGCGGGATAAGCTGCATTAAGCCGCGCATTAGCGACCACTCGGCGTATTAGTGCATAGTACAAACTATGCCTGCGGTATAACTCGGCGCGGCGCGGCGCGGCGCGGCGCGACGACAGCGTATCGCACGTACTCTCTCGACGCAGCTCAGTCAGCGTGGCGAACTATCGGGCAAACATTAAATATTCATACAACGTACGAACCGGTCGATCAATATCCCGACTTTAAATTGCCAGCCGTGCGAGCCGACGAGCGCGTCAATTACGTCGCGCTCGCCGGACAGGCGAGAGAGGCTGCTATCTTGGCGAGTGGGAGCGTTTAAATGAACGGTTTAAGTAAACGTCTCATTAAGTCGATGTCGACATTTCCTCGGACATGAGAAGGCGAAAACGCGACAATAACGCGACGTCGACGTCCACCGGCAGCGCTACCGCCGCGGTGTCAGTCGATAAAAAGCCATCGCGCTTAGGTCGCGCGTTCATTGAGTTCGTCAGCGGAGAGGAGAGCGGCAAGCGAGTTATGTTCTCCTCGACGGAGATATCCAAGTTCGCCAAGTCGCGGAAGCGAACAATCCACGCGCGCGACTCCTCCTCGAGGCACACCGCCGCCGCTGCTGTTGTGGTTCGTAATATCCGCGTTCTTTATCCGCCAAACGGCTCTTTTCGTTCGAATTTACGAGCACTACTTGCGCGCGCGCGCGCGCGCCAGCTCCGCGGGAGTGTCGCGAAACTTTCGCCGACGCGCTCTCCGCCGCTGCCGTGTGTCTGCGCGAGTAGTTTAATTATATTTCAATTAGCCAGTCCGACGACGAGCCGACAATGCCCCCCCCCCGGCCTCGCGGAACGACGACTCATCCCCCTTCGCGCGAATCGCACCCCTGTCGAGAGCGACGTGATTCACGCGGCGGCAGCAGCTGTCATCGCGTCGCGCCCGCGCCGCGCGCCGATCTCGCGGCTGCTTCTCGCAGCGGGTCTCGCTTTTGGCCGGAGATTAGCCGGCGACAAGAACTGCGAGAGCGCAAATATGCTCTCCGTGATAACGGATGAGCAGCAACGTATGAGCGAACGTCGCGCGATGCTGCAGCGCGATCTTATAAAGGCTAATGGAGATTCTCTGAAGTCGCGCATAAGCGCTAATTAACCAACGGTCTGTGGTGGGTGTGTGTGTGTGTGTGTGTGTGTGTGTGTGTATGCGGGTGTACAAAACGGGCTGCCGCGTCGGGAGACCACGATTCATTATGCGAAGACTGCCAATGTACGCGCCCTCTCTCTCTTCCTCCCCCGCCCCCTCGCCTCTCTCTCTCTCTCTCTCTCTCTCTCTCTCTCTCCCCTTATCTTCCTTTCCCCGTATTGTCCTGCAAATCTCTCGGGAATCCGCATTCGAAGAACGTCCTCACACGTAGTCGATATTGTTCCAGCTGAATGCTACATCACAATTCCCTCGCGAGCGTCTCAGACGCTCCTCCTCCTCCTCCTCCTCCCTTCTTCCTTTTTTTCTCCTGCCGACGATTCCCGAGGATGCTCGCCCGGGAACTTATTACAAGACGAATGACGTTCACGAGCTCGACTAGGTGCTTCGGGCACTTTGTCCGTAACGTCGGGCTGTTCTCCACGCGGAGGAGGATCTCTCTCTCTCTCTCTCTCTCTCTCCTGCTCGCGGATCCGCAGCAATTATACCGTGGGGAATTTTCACGACGAGGAAACGAAGAGCGACTATCGCGCAGCGCCCGGCCCTCAGCGACGGGGAGGTATTTACGTATGACGAAGACGCGGTGTTTCTTATGCAAATTTCGCGACTGTATGCAAATGTATTCGGGCGGCCCGTCGCACTACTCCCGAATTCATCCCGCTCGCTCCGCAGGGAACACGTTTAGACTACATAGATAACCGTGCTGTACCGGCAATAAACTGTAATTATATTTGGCGCCTTCTCCCTTCCTTTCTCTCTTTCTATTCTTTAGGATTTCGTTACACCCGCGTTACAAAACGTCGCCGAGTCGTCGCGCGTGAGTGCGCGTGTGTGCGTGTTGGACATACCCATCGATCATAACCGCGTTTCGATCTCGTGGCGATCGGCTAATTGGATCGACGAGGAGCGACAGGCCGTAGCGCGAGGATCCCGAGCGGCGCGAAAAAGCGGCCGACGTTTCGCACAACAGCTGCGCCTTAACAACTACTGTCGCACTTATCACGCCGATCCATTAGCAGAACTGCCGGCGCAATCTCGCAAACCGTGTCCGCTCGCCCTTTGCTCACCTTTGACTTTTACCCGCGTACCCCGGGCTCTGTGAGTCGATTAGAGGAACGAGCGCCGTCGTCGCGCGAAAGCAAAGCGCCTTCCGGCTGGCGCGACCTGCTCTTTGACGACCGGCTCTGATAAGAGGACTCAGATCCAGGAGCCGTCCTCGGGAGAAATCATTCATTCTTAACACCGTTTAAACGTTTATTAGCGTGTTCGCGGCGAGGGGTTTCATCACGGTTGACTGTTGCTCCGCGATCGACCTTGCTTCTCTTCTCAGGTGACCTTACTCCGACTAGCAGTGCCAAACTGTGTGTGTGTTTGACTCTTCCCTTTGATTTTCTCGGAAAAGGAGAAAAAAACAGGAAAAAAAACGGTCGAGCGATTCGTCAACAATTCGATAGGACGCGGTGCCATTGATCGCTATCTCACTCCCTTCTCTCTCTCTCTCTCTCTCTCTCTCTTTCTCTCTCTGTCGTTTGTATACAAGCACTCGTTCATATGCAACTTTCGCGCAGTCCAGCCGCGAGATCTGCAAGTGTAAACAAATTTATCACTCGCCACGCCGGTGAGTGGAAAATAGGAAGACAGACCGGTGAGAACAAGGGGCAGGGGCAGGGGCAACGGCGGCGACGGCGACACGCTAGAGGGCTCCGACGACAGAATCGGGAAACTCCTGTTTGCCGGCTGCTCGCCAGCGGCGCACACAAACCTAGAATAACTTGATTATCGGACTACCTGGTAACGCCGCGGGTTTGTCCGCTAGCTCGTGGGAGTCTAGAAGAATGGAAAACGGAGGCGGTGTGTGGCGGCGACGTGTCGTGGCTACACGCTTTTACCCCTTTGATTTGCACCGCGCACCACATTCTACGCGCGCGTACACACACACACACACACACACACACACACACACGGCGGGCGAGTCACTCCTACACGACTCGACGGAGAGCCATCAGTTGCCGCAAAACCAACGACGCTATTTCACTCCCGTCCCGTTGCAGCGGCTGGCGGTGTTCACAAGGTGTGCGGCGTCGGTCCTCGCCAAGACCTTCCGACGAATTTCCCAACCAAACGGGTTAAACGTCGCGCGCCTCGCTTCGGACGCAGCCGGGCTTTGTCCGCCGCGTGGAAACAACAGCGCGACCGGGGAGGGCCGATACTTATCACCCCTCGCTCGTCGTTCGTCTTCGTTATCGCGAATTTTCCGCGCAGCAAAACCGCTTGAGCGGCCGGGCACCCCGGGCGAGCCTGTAATTCGCGCCGGGGAAAATCATTATACAACCCCGAGGAAAAGCGTCGAGTGAAAACCGCCTGGTGCTGGTGGTGGCTCTGCAACTTCGTCGCCGCTCGCGAGCGCGCGTTATTGTGTCGCGGCCGACACGTATCTCGATCCTCACTTTGACTTCCGGCTTCCTCGTTTCTCAGAGCGCCGCGCCGAAACCACAAGCCTCGCTCCATTTGTCATGACGTCGAAACTTTGGCGAAATTATTTCCAAGCAAGCAACTTGGACTAACGCTGCCGTGTCCGCGCGACCACTCGACAATTATCGAGATAGGTCCCCCCCCCCGCCCCTCGGCCCACCGTCTTCCTCTCCGAGACTCTGCCGAAATCGCGCAACATTCTGATGCATCACGCGGACCGATCGATGGGAAATTTTGCCGCGTCGGCAGCAGAGAGAGAGAGGGAGAGAAAGAGAGAGAGAGAGAGAGAAGGGGGAGAGAGAGAGAGAGAGAGAGAAAGAGGACAGCGATGCCCATCGGCACGGCTTGCTCACGCTCGATTATCGGCCCTTTTGCACGACT